CTGTTCCCTAGAATTTTCAATTACCCTAAATACAGAGACCGCCACGACTCACGAGGCCGAAACTTATGTAGCTCCCGCAGGTTTGTATAAGTTGCGACCCGATCCAAGAAACGTGAGTGTGAAAAAAGACTCTTTCACTCAAAGTTCCAGGGAGATATAATGATAGACAACACAACTCGAGGTGGTACGCACGTAAATAGTTGGAACAGCTAATAAAGCGATCGTTGAAGGAAAGTCTGACTTGTCGAGCTCGAGAAGAGGAGAGGAAGGGGAGGATTGTCACAGATAATGGTACACCAAAAGAGATTAGAAATTGAGAGGGTAGAAATGAATGTGGGGTTAGTAGTGATGTGCTGGATTCATAGGCGATTCGGAAGATCGTTTGGTTTGGTAGTTTGGTTAGGCGTTGGACTAGGATAATGGGAGTAGGAGGTTGTGATAGGGATAGAGATAGAGACGGAGTGTTAGGGCGTTAACTTACACAACAGAAATGAAAGACATGAAAGACGAGGGGTAAAAACCTGAAATGCGGGGTATATGCAGAGCAGATGGGTGCCAAAAGGATGCGATGCGAATAACACGAGTTCCACAGAATGAGAGAAAATTTAAAAAATGGTATGTGGGGGCAGGATGCTTAGGAGTGTCGCGATTTTGGATGGAAGGGGTTTTCGTCGACGGAGAGGCGTCGGATTAATTCGAATGATGAGCAGCGCTCGAAGATGTGGGAGAGGCTGGGAGAGACGAGGATCGAAAGTGAAGGGAGATTAGATGAGACTCGGAGAGAGGTAGGGGCGTCGAGCAATGCACATCCACGAGGCACCATGCAATGGCATGAATGCAAAGCCATTCCTCTCCACCTGCTTCGGCCTAGCACGACGGCGACATATGCACGTTCCACTCCACGACATGCACGCTCCAACGGCATCGCGCGCCGTCGCAGGGCAGATATGCGGTAACATATACTTATACTTATGAGGAGCTGGAGCAAGACTGCGGGGCAGGGCAGAACGAATACCCCGGCTGTCCGTCAGCGGTTGCGGTGAATGCTCGCCGTCGCCGCTGCCGTAGGTCGCCGAGCATGTTGCTGCTATTATCGGAGGGTGCGTGGTGTCCGAGTGGCGTTTTTAACTTGGCCTCGAACGTTGAACGTTAAACATGCACTTCCACCAGTGTCGACCTTGAATGAGGACAGAGACGCGGCGGTCGGAAACCCCGACGCGCACGCCGAGCAGCGCCCATGCACCCACTACCCACCATACCACCCACCACATCAACAGCACCCTGACTCCCTTCTCTAACCCGCCCCTCTTCTCCAACCCACCCCTCTTCTCCAACCCACCCTCCCAAAGCCAACTTCCTCCCAACATAAAGTACTCGCACCCTCGCTCACCCCAGGAACGCCATCTCCGTCAACTGCCTGCTCTCCTCGTCCTCAATCGCGCTCGTCTCCATCAATATACTCCCCCTATTATACATCACCGGGGACACCGCGCGTCGCTGCACGGGCGGTGGGGGGCTGAGCGTCGGGCTCCTCGGCGGGTGCGGGTGGGCGTATGTTCTCGATGTCATACCAGTGGTCATGGCAGAGCGGAAGGACGAGGGGAGGGTGGGCGAGGTGGGGAGGTGGGAGGCGTCGAATAGGCGTCCTCGTGTTGGGTTGGCATCAGAGGAGGGGTCGGAGGAGGCGGTGGAAGAGGTGGTGTTCTTTGGGCGAGAAAGTGTGCCGATAACAGAGCGCCGCATGTTCGATAGACTCAGCTTCTTCGAGCCTAACCTCTCTGCAGGCCCCCGTGCGCCTTGCCTTGCTCCTTCACTTGCTCCCTCTTCACCACCACCAGCGCCCACACCAGCGCCCACACCCCCACCCCCACCAGCGCCCTTAACGTACTGGCTCTGCCCGCGCTTAAAGCTAAACGGGTTCATGCTCTTCCGCTTCTCCGCCTTCTCCAGCATGCCCACAGGGTCCGTCACGCCTCTCTTTGGTGCCCGCCCCGCCTGTGGGGGATGAACATGGCCCTGTGCCGACGATGAACTGGAAGGGTTAGGCGCAGAGGCGGTGGTTTTCGTAGGGCTTGATGGGGTCGCAGCTGAAGAAGCGAGAGCGAGGGGAGGCATGGACGCGCTGACGCTCTCGACCATCGGCGCGTGTGTGCCGGCGGAGGAGACGGAGAGGGACGCGCCTGTGTCTGTTGAGGGTCGGGGGTCCGTTATCTTGTCCTTCTCCTCGGCCTCTTTCTTCTCATCGTCTTCTTCCTCAGCGACTGACGCCAACCCTTCCGCCCTTTCCACCTTCTCGACCTTCTCCTCGATCTTTTTCTCCTCAACACCCACACCCACAGCCCCCGGTGCATCCTCCTCCACCTCAACGACCGCCTCCAGCCCCTCCTGCACCACGAACCGATAGCCCTCCACCACCGGGCTCTCCACGATCACAGGCACGACGCCGCCCTCGTGCGTCTTCACCACCAGCCCACCCAACTTCCCTATCCCTATCGGTTTTACATGGGGCGTTGGGGCGGACACGGTCGTTGACCCAGCAGAAGACGCATCAGTGTTCGTAGAACAGGGAAGTGAGGAAGAACGGAGGGAGGAGGGAGGGAGAGAGGAGGACGGCGCACTAGCTAGCGAAGAGGTGCTATCGGAAGTGGAGGCGGAGGCATCGGTGCTGCTGTCGAAGGATAAGGACGGTGCGACCAAGGAGGAACCTGAGATGGTCTCTTCGAGGGCGGCGAACGAGTCTGTGCGGGCGTGGAAGGCTGCTGCGGAGGCGGAGGCGGACGGAGATGTTAACTGGGAGGCCGACGCAGATATCGATTGGGAGAGGGATGCGGAGGAAGAGAGGGCGGGCTCGGAGGCGGATGGGGGTATGACGTCTTCTGCTTCTGCGGCGGATGTGCTTGCGATGGTGCTCGTGTTGATAGCAGGGTCGCGGGCGTCCTTATCTTGACCTTCTCTCTCGGCTTCGCTCTCTTTTACCCCAACTTCAACCTTATCCTTATCCTCATCCACCACCCCGTCGACCACCACCACGTCCTCACCCTCCTTCAAAATCCCCGCTGGTGGAGGCGACGACACCCCCCCAGCCCCAGCAGTAGTAGGCGTAGCAGTCGTCGGCGTCGGTATCGCGCTCGCAGCCGCCCACGCCTCGCGCACCGCGTCAGTCGCGTCCGTTGGTGTAGGCGTCTGCGCCTGCGTTGGCGTATGCGATGGAGAGAGCCCATGCAAGTGTTCAGGACGCGGGGTGCACGCGCCGCTCGGGGTGGCGGAAACAGACACATCTTCGGGTGGTGGTGGGAGCTCGATTTCTTGCACCACCTCCACCGTCTGTGTTGGGAAATGCGGTTCTGGTAGGACCTCAACGACCGACGCGTTCGCCTCCGCCGTAGTCGTAGTTGGAGCCAGAACTAGAGAATCTTGAGGCGAGTGTAGGACCACCGATGGCACCACCACCGGCACGCTCGTGCTCAACACATTCGCCTCTGAGTCTCCACCACCACTCGCCTCTCCCTTTCCACCACCACCAAACGCCTCTGCGTCCCCATTTACAGCAGCACCGGCATCCACACCAGCATCATCCACACTATCCCTCCCCTCACTCGACACCAACCTAACACTAGGGAAGAACCCATCCCCACCGTCCTCGTCGCGCCTCGACGGCGAAGGCGAGGGCGGCAACGGGAACATATACGGTTCCGGCTCTCTGTCTCTCGGCTCGGACAGTGCTTCCGGGTGCGCTTGCGCTTGCGCTTCCGAATGCACTTGGAAGTGTGGTAGAGTCCCAGCGGCCAATGCAGCGTCGATCATGAGTGGCGCCGGGGCGAGGGGTAGAGGGCGGAGAGATGGGGACAAGGGTGAGGTTGGGGCGGTGTGGAATACGGGAGAGAGGGGTGGGGTGGGTAGAGAGGATGTGGGGGGTGAAGGCAGGGGTATGGAAGGCGGAGGTGGGAGGGGACGTGGGGCATTCTCTGGGGATGGAGACGTAGATGGTGCGGAGGACATAGGGAAGCCCACCGCGTCAGGCGCAGGCGACGACGGCGCCGACCCACCAAACCGGAACTTGCTCATGCGCTCACGCTCGAGCGACTTGTTGCGCGCCTCCCACTCCCTCTTGATCATATCCGCCGCCGACTCTTGCACCACCACATTCACATTCCCTCCTTCATGCGAAGACTCAGACGCCGACTCCCCTCTCTGCCCATACGGTAGCGACGGCAGGGCGACGACGGGGATGTGTGCGTCTTGCTCTGCCTCCTGCTGGGAGAGGTCCTTGTTGGGGCGGAGGGGCGGGAGGAGGCCGCGAGCGCGCAGGGCGGCTTCGCGCTGCTCCTTCATGGCTGCGTTGGCGTTGGGTGACGGGGGCGGGCGGGCGGGTGAGCGCGCGCCGCGGCCGCGTGAAGGAGAGGGAGAGGTGGAGGGAGACGAGCGAGGCTTGAGTTTGGTGAACATGCGGATGAGCCCTGTGCGTGGTTTGGTGCGCGGTGGGCTGGGGGGAGAGGATGAGGGGTGTGGGGAAGGGACGGGGACGGAAGGGACTCACTCGGCTACTGGGGGTGTGGGGCCGGCGGTGGCGAGCATCTTGGTTTGTGCTGGCATTTTGGGCAGGCTGGACGAGTATGACGATGAGCTCGTATGTAGGTAGAAGAGACAAACGCACTCTGGGAGGACACCCATCTGCAGAAACTCCTCGTCCTCTCCTTCGAGATCCTTGAGCGTTGGCTCCTGATATTTAGCTGTTGTGGTGCGGCCGCGCAGGAGGGCCGCAAAAGGGTTTGTCGCGGACGCCTTTGAGCGGAGAGAGGAGGCTTTGAGGGACGGAGGGTGGGGTGGGTGCTTGTCTACGCGGAAGGAGCGCAGAGAGAGCGAGTCTGTCGTGAAGATGGCCGGTCCATGTGGACGCATGGCGATGGGCTGTTGTGGGGAGGAAACGCAACAGAGCTCAACAGAAGGAAGGAGTAGCCGGGTCACCCACATATAAGGCGATCGACGCGGGGCAAAACTACCCACTCAGTCCACCGAACATACCCAACGTGGATCTCCCTCCCTCCTGCGCGTCTTTCCGCACTGCAATTAGAAGCGCGTAGAGGTCCCGCGCCTTCCCCCACTTCGTTCTTATTTCTCTTCTGTCCTGGGATGCGACTCTTGAAGGAGGAGGAGGAGCCATCGGTGGGGAAGTGCACATGACAGATCGGGGGCAGATCTCCGAGATCGATCACTGTCAGGGACGGAGAGATGCCACATGATTGGCCTCTTGACCCGTCCTGATTCCTTATTTCCCCAAGCCCTCCCCCATCCTCGCTCGCCCCGCGCCTCCTGTCCTCCTCACAGGCCCGGCGTTTCCATCGTTGCCTCTCAGGAGCGTCTACCCTCACCGCCGTCGTCGCTTTATCACGCACTCTATTTCAGCACGCCTTCTCTCCAGGTTCTCAGGTCTCGCCTCTTGTCCAGTCACCATCGCACAACACGTCCATCCGGATCCATCCTGATACCTGCATTCAATCATTCTGCCGTGTCAGGCCCTTGCCGTAAAACAGGCTGAACACCTGGAAATGGCAGAACCACGGCTCTATGGGCGACCCGGTGATGCCTTTATGATTGTCCCACCGGTGTATGTCGTTGCCTATATGCGTCCGGTACACTGAACACTATGGCCAGCGATGGGCCCTTCACCGTGATCTTCACCTTCGCTGACTTAACCTTTTGACGGGTAGGGATCTGCGGATTTACGACTGCTGGCAGGCGTGCACACACTGGCAGGAGAACGTGAGTGGCACCTTGCTATCATTTCTCTTGTTCGCAACTCGGCGTACATACATATGATCATTGGATCAAAAAAAACCCCTACACATGCGGCAGAACGCGTATGTTTCTCAGCATTCCCTTTCTTGCCTTGTTCGTCTCGCTTTTCTCCGAAGGCCGACTCTAAACACACCTGTTCGTGACCTAAATCCGAGCTACTTAAGTGCTTTCTCCGACCCTCCCAAGCCTCAAGGTGATTGGCGATTGTTCGGGCGCCTCCCGAAGTCGACTAGCCAGCGCTCGTGTTCGGAATTTCACACTCCTGTTCCCTGCCCTCCCTCCCTGCTCCCTTACCCTCTGCCCACCTCCGACTCTGTCTCAGTCCCATTCTCATCATCCTTTTGCCTGGAACTTTGGTTCTTCCCCGGCGGCTTTACCATCTCAGCTGTACATTTATCCATCCATCGTTTCCTAGTCCTTCCCTCCAGGTGCTTCTTCCAGGTCCTTGTAACTATGAGTCAACTTGTCCAGAGTCAGACGTTCATGTAATGTAACGATTAATTTCTGTTGTAACTACTATCCATCCCTTCTCTTGTAGTTACAACTAATCTATTCACATCTCTTGTAATCGTGTTGTAACCATCTATCTCTGTTGTATGTAATGTAACCGCTCATCTCTCTTCAACCTCTCATCCTACTTCACCGCCCTTCAACGTTCAAATTTAAGATTACCCATCCCCTTACCCATCCCTTTACCCATCCCCTAAATTTCCTTCCCCTTGCCTCATCCCTTCGAATTCTTCCCACCAACGATCATCGGTCTCCTGGAACATTCAACAAACAGTACTCGTTTATTTTTAAATAATACAGTACAACAGACTTCCTCTGAATCAGACTTCTAGTCTGCGAACCTGCCTCACCCCCCTTTCACAATCTGCTTCTTAGACTTTCGTACAACAATGGCTCTTCGTGTCGTTTTGACAGCTGACGTCGACGCCGGATGTTGCGCATGCGTCAGGCGTCAGGCGTCAGGCGCTTGATACTGTCAGTGTCGCGGTGTATTTACGCTACTAGTACTCCACTGAGTGCTTACTCGGTGAATACTTAGGTGTGCCGTGGGTGGGAGTGAGACGGCAAGGGAAGGGAAAGGAAGGGAAGGGCAAGGGAAGTTGGAGCGTTGCCTTTAACGAGACTTCGGGACTTCGACATTTGAGTTTTTGGCGAGCTCGGAGAACTGCGCACTGTGGCACGGAAATGTCTGGACTCTGGATAACGGCATCGTGCACCGTGCGAGCACTGCGAGGGGGCGCAGGTGCAGGCAGCTGGTATCTGTGTCAGTATGTATGTGTTGGAATTTCGAACATAAGTTTGTAGGTGACGTACACCATACTTATTTCTACGCGCTTGAACGTACCCCTCCTTCTCCTCGAGTCCTAACAGCATACACGATCACGATCATGCATATGCACGCCTGCTCATGTCCTTGAGAATCAAAGTTCCGAGTCAGCCCTTTTCGAATTCATTCATTCATTCATTCGGCCTCCAGGAAGGCCCAGGGCGGCGTCAAACCGTGGCTGCGCAGTGGCCGGGGATGAGTCGATGATCAGAAGAAGAAGAAGGGGAGCCTGAGCGCGAGAAGCTGACGGAAGCTGAAGAACGAAAGAGGCGCCGGCGAAGCGCGGGAAGGGAGGAAGAGAAGAAACTGAACTGGAGAGGGCCGAGCGGCGCTCCGTATGCGAATGGGACGAAGTCCTCGTTAGATATCCTGGATCGAACGCCCGGCGCGTCGAATCGCGCAAACCTAGCCTCGACTCAAGAGCTAGCTACAATGAGACGCGGTACACCGACCTGCGACGCGCCATGGAACAACTCGTCAAAGTAGGTCTTTCTTTCTTTCTTTCCCGAGACCTCAGGTTCGCTCGAGCTGCCAGAGGAGCCTAACGAAGTTAACGTCAACGTTTCAACTCCCAGAGGTTTGTGCGCCCCGACCTCCCGGCCGCCTCATCAATAATTACTTAGCGCGGCCCCGAGTCGAGGCGGCGAGTGCTTCGCAGTCTGTATGGAATGAGCGCTTCGCAGGGAGCACTGCGACCCGTTTTGAGCGTACTTACTGGTGACGCCAGCCTACCACGAGTCTGTAGGATCAAATTGGATGAATTCAACCAGGCCAAGGTTACTACTTATACATAGGCAGGTTTACCGTTTAGACGTGCACTTGGCTTTTCCTTGGATGGGGCCTGTCAGTTTGGACGTAGGTCACGGTCTATCTTGGCTTTACTTAGAGAGCGCACTAGGGCGGTTATGTAAGGGAATCATTTCCTCTTGTGGTGTGGACGATCCGTATCGCGCTGGGCGGGCGGTTCGCGTTGAGTTCAGGCTTTCGGAGTTGAAGGTTAAATATCACATTCACGTCTCTGGGAGAGTCGTTCAAGTACACACCCTCGAGCTAATTTTGTGGCCCTCTCTGTTGACAGGGGTCCTTACTATGTAATTCCAGGGAGAAACATGGTCTGGGGATTTCTGCGTGATTTTGGGGTTTCCGATAAGTATGTTACTGTTACTGTATGTATGGCCCGAGTCGAGGACCGGCGCTTTCACCGAGCCTCTTTGATCACCCTGCACCGGGCGGCGCCGGCCCAGCAGCGCTCGACCTCCCCTCTCATTGGTGCTAGGACGATGTTTAGTTATTTCCTCAGCCGCCGTAAGGGCCAGTCTAAGGACTCGAACCGCTATGAGCCATCGAGGCACACTTTGGAAATTTTTCCTGATTCAGACTGTGGCGACTCTACGTTCCTGTACGTTCCTGATCACGATCGAGCTGGCAAACCCATTTGGATTCGGTATGCGACCCCATTCGCTCCTTGCCAACGGCGTGATCGCGAAAACGCGAGGTGGCTGTATTCTGGATATTTCGCTGCCCTGCAAGTTTGTTTGTCCTTCAAATTCCTTGTGGACACAGTCGGCAAGAACGAGAACGAGACGGGTAATGTAATCTGTCTGTAACCTTTCATTATGTATCAGAACTGATCCTTTTCGTATCTATCAGTCCACTCATGTATGCCTTGCGCAAGCGATAACACCTTGGCGGTAGCCTTAGAGCCTATTGGGAATGGCGCACCGAGGACCCACAATGCCATACAGCGCGCACGAATCTTCAAATTCAACTTATTCAAGTCTGTCAACCTTAAGTCCATACATTTAACTACGCCGGCTCGGGCTTACGAGGCCTATTGTGACACGACTGTGAACTCCAGGACCTGACACTACTATGCCAGGCCATGAGTGCGGCCACGGCGGTTGCCCGATGTCAGCATTGCAGGTCTCAAAGAGTCAGCCCATCACGACATCAACCCAGCACTTGTCCTTACACCCGCATCGTCGTATGCAAGGTCGGACTTTGTCCAAGTCGGCGCCTTTGAAAACATAATCAAAGGTCCACGAAATAAATACTCAGGCTCTCTGGAGGCGAAATAACACAGGCACCTAGCAAGAAGAAAGAGATTATCTGGTCAGGCTCGTCAAGCCAATCAGAAGGTGATAATCCAGGAAGCGGTATGGCACGAAGCGGCGAGGAAGGAGAAGCTCACGAGTGGAAAACCAGGGGGAGACTAAAACTGCCAGTGCAGAAGCTACGCATTTAATTTAGAGGGCGACGGAGGAACGGAATGTAGTCAACGTCCTCGACAGCATTGCGGTGCTCGCGAAGGGACAGCCGCCGATGAGTGATGAGGGCGACTCGAAGCTAGAGGAGTGTGAGACTCCGAGATGGTGGGCGTTCGAAGGAAAGATGCCATCCCATTGAATACCAGGGAAAATGTCACATGAGCGGCACTGACCATTCTAAACCGCTAGAGTCTACGATAGAGTAAAGCCAAAATATCATCAAATGATAGTAAGGAACCAATCAGCGCTGCCGCTGCGCGATCGCCGTCGTTCGCTCATCATGATGACGACCGTGTTTTGACAATTGATGCTTTTAGTGTGTGGTGCGGGGCCGCTCCCCGCACTCCTCATATCCACGGGAGGAGGATGGGAGCTGGGGCTCCTATTATTTCGGGACCGAATTCGGAAGAAGGTAATGTGAGTATTAGGCGCTGATGGTCGTGTGATGTCAGTTTATTTGAGGTTAGAATTGATAAGACTTAGGGGTTGGGATAGGAGGATGGGACATACAGCGCTGAATATAGAATACTTCCATTAATGAAGTCGGTGATTAATGAAGTCAATGAATTTGTTTTCCTGCTAACCGGAGCAGCCCGCCAGAATTATTCCTGGAGCTCCTGCGTCATCTGGTCTGCATCCATTGCCAGGAAGTGAACCACAATAGCGCACGGGGGCGTGGTGGGTCATCGAGTAAGAACTTGAAAAGCTTCGAACCTCGGGACTCCTAGGAGGGACACTTGACGAGACCACGTCCGCTTGCCAACCTGACGCGCCACCATATCCTAATTGAGAAGGCACATCTCCAGAGTGTCTGGGCATCAGCTGTCGGGCGGCGTGTTTCAAGCGCTTACGTTGCTTGAGATCCGCGAAGGTATGGTGGAAATATTGAACCAGAAAACAGAATAAATTGGCTCTGGTCACCTTCCCTGCAACGGGATTGTCGAGCCTGCACGACGGATGACAGAGAGTCAATATTAAAGTGCCGATGACACGCTGGAATTTTGGCGGTGTTCCGACCTTGCATTCGGAAGCTCGGGATATTCAAACTGGCACACAGAAAACATGGAACAAGGGATCTGCTGAAGGGATGTCGCAGTTTAGGAGAGTGCACCCGACGAAGCGGAGCACAGTGCAAACGAAATGCCGTCGGGGAGCGCTGAGCAGCGGAGGTCCAGGACGGTAAATTCAATTTTGTATGCACAGCGCCCCGCGGTGTGGGGCACCGTTAGTACTTAGAATTAAAGACGGCTGCTCGTTCCTGCGGATATGCCGCCGAGACGTAGCCGACGGAGGATGGTAGATGAGATAGTACTATATATATCTGCGGCGCGGGGGAAGGAGGGCGTACGAGATTAATGACAAAATTGCCGTCACTGGATTCGGCTTTGTAAAGTGGGTTGGTTGTCCTAGAAGTGACTGGTAAGGGTTTGTAATCCATCCATCCTTTAACTCCTGGCATGAACCTAGCCAACTGTGAGAAAAGCTCCGGAATTTCCCCTGAGCTAAACCCGACGACTGCATCGTTCGAATTCGCAAAGCCGAATGTTCTAGCAACTAAGACGACGCCGAAGATAACCCACCGGACACGTGCAGGATCGAAGCGCTTTCATTGGTTACGATGTGCCACGGTCGTAATTTCAATTTGCATCAAGCGCTGAAAATAACTCGCGCTCATCCCTTGAACCTCCGAATCAAACTTCCGCCTAACAAACATTCTCTGCCCCCACAACTCGGCGAAAAGCGAGCCAATGCCCCTCCGCTGATCCACCGATACTCCGACATAACGTTGCATAGCATCCGCGGACGTGAAAGTAACTTGAGAGGGCCCGTCGACACTTCCACGTGATAATCCGACGAGATCACGTTCGCTTGTTACTCCGACGCGCCACCATATCCAAATCGGGAACACGCTTAGCAAACCTTTAAATCCGGAATCGACTGGGCATCACCTGTCGGGTGGCGTGTTTCAGGCATTTACGTTGCTTGATATCCGCGAAGGTTTGGTGGAAATAGTGAATGAATGAATGAATGAATGGGAACATATCAGTGGAGGTATCTGCCTTCCCTGTAACGGGATTGTCGAGCCTGCACGACGGGATACGAGAGCCAGTTAGAGTGCCGCTGAAATGATGAAACGATGGAACTTTGGCGGTGCTCCGCCCGCGCTCTCGGAAGCTCGGAATACTAGTGGACGGAAAACATGGAACTAGGATCTGCTGAAAAGATGTCGCAATTCCAGAGAGTGCGGCGGACGAAGCGGAGCACTGAGGCAGCTACTTGCCGTCGGCGAGAGCTGAGCAGCGGAGGTCCAGGACGAGCTTAAATTTGTGTAGCTAATTTTGCATGCATGCACGGCACACCGCGGGGCAGCGCCAGCGTTGATACTTGGAATGACAGGCGGCTGCTCGTTCCTGGGGATATGTCGCTAAGGCGTAGCCGACGGTGGTTGGGTTGGGCATCTGCGGAGCGGGAGAAGAAGAGCGTACGAGAAGGAGGGTGTGTGATATTAATGACGAAACCGCGGTCAGTCTGTTTGGCTTGGTAAACTGGTTGGTCAACTTCTCGACTGGAGGGTTTGTAACTCTTCCATTCTTTAAATTCTGGCGTGATCATAATCTGTTGTGAGCAGTTGGAGCCAGTATATTCCAGCTTCCTCTCTCCCTCAGCTAAACCTGATGCTCGAAAGACCGAAAGTTCTAGCAACTACCACGACTCTGAAGATAACCCACCCAACACGTGTATGATCGAAGCGCCAACGTCACCGTGTGCTTTCAGATTCATAACTGCGCCACGGTCGTAATTTGCATCAAGCGCCGAAAATAACTCGCGCGCCCATACCAAACTCTTTCACTCGAAACCCTCGCCCAAACTCTCTCCGGCCCCGTAGCCTGGCGAAAAGCGACCTAACGCCTTCCTCCGCTGATCGACCGATAGCTCGACATAGAGTCAAGTAAATACAGCTCTAACCTACGCTATGAATGGCTCGCTTATCGATACGCCCCCGCCTCGAGGCTTAGATGTGTCCCTGCGTGCCGGGCCATCGCTGCTTCATGGAGGTAGATCGATTGCATTCGTGGTATTAGCTTTAGGTATTCTTGGAGAGAAGATAATGCTGTTTTTGATCAATGGTGAAGGCTAGTACAAACGCAGGTGTTTTTGTAGGGAAAGGCAAGTGCTCGTGTTCGCAGGGACGGCTTCGTCAGGAGATCAACGCGTCACAGGGCAAGGGTGTAGAGCTTCGTCTGCCTTTTAGGTTCAGGTCAGTGAGAGAGGGGTTGGAATACCGGAGTGAATTGTGACTTTGCAAGGTGGTTGTGATTAAGTTTTGAAGATGCCTTACAGATGTAGGACATGACCCCAACCTCCCGGTTTAACGGCGAGCAGAGTCATCTGTGGTTGCTAATACGCAGCGCTCGAGGGTCACGGAACCGTTTTCCGCGTTGTATATGATGTTTTTGCATCACCCCTGTGCTCGTCTGACGTTCATGCCGCACTCGGCAGAGGCGTCGAAATGTATGGAAGACAAAAGGCGATGAGAAGATGCCAATGTCATTCCGTGGATGTTGATTCGCTCACAAGGAACAATCCGACTGGATGCGAGCGCTGTCACTCGCCTTCTGGACTGGTCTCTGTCATCCTCCAGTGATGGGGTTAGTCTAATCTGTGTAATTCCCAGAAACGGCAATTTTTCCATTACGCGTCCTCCCTTATGACCCAACGATGAGAGTGAAGAGTGATCGCTGTGAGACGATCGGGAAACGCCGAAGGTGTATACTGGTGTTTGAGACACGATCGGCATTTGAGAGGACACGCTGGGAGTGGAATACAGCGTGCTCCAAATCGAATCGAGTGGGACACAGGGGCAGACGACAAGGGCATGTCTCTGTAACTACATCTGTGGACAAAAAAGTACCTTCGCGAAGCGTAGGTTGTACCCACGAGAAGGTGGCTAGCGAAGGTTGTGCGAACAGCAACGAGCTCGCAGGCGAAATCAAGGTTGGTAGTCGGGTGAAGGGAGGCTGGAATGGACTCGAGCGGGAGAGAATGGAGTTGCTAGATTGAGCTGGACCCTGATTGCGGGGTATAAACTGATTACGAAGTCGGTGGTCATGTGGCGCGGGGTAGCCTGTTCAGGGTCGCGACCAGATCTCGATGCACCCAGTTATATCTTACCCATCCTACATCATCCCACCACGCTGTTTTCAATGACTAGGAGCTCGATGCTAAAAGCGAATTGGGTCAGAAGAACTGCGAAAACGGAGAGTGGTCAGTGCGCACCGGCTCCTGAATTAGCGGGTTGGTTGCCGTCGGAGAGGATGAATGTGTTGGCTCCAAATTGTGGAGAAAATGGTGAACGGGGGTGCAGCGAGGTGGCGTCGAAGATACGGAAGTAGTCTTCGAGGGATAACGCCTATCATCAATGGTTGAGTAGTAACTACGCAATAAGGGCAGGAGAAGGGGTGAAATGTGGTCACGTGCACCTGATTTAGATGGGACTAACTCCACAGCATATAAAGTCGGCCAATGAATTGCTAGGTCCCTCCTGCCTCTCATTCCTCCCGCCCACCAACGAAACACAATATCTGAAATACTGCACACCACAATGAACTCCAACGACGTGCACACCCCGAAAGATGTGAAGCATTCTGCTCCCATTACCATCCCTACTGCGGCGCGTGGTAGAGCGCGCTCCATGTCCGTCTCCTCTGCCTCCTCTGCCTCCGACGCCAGCTCAGGTTCAGAGCTCCCAACACCAGCCTCAGGATCTGTCGGCAGAATCTCTATTCCCTCCCCGTCTACCTCACCGATCCTCTCCTACTTCCTGGCGCAATCACCTACAAAGACCCCCGGCACCGCAGCTACTTTCCCATTCAAACGCAAGTTTGGGCCTGCCCCCGTTTTCGAAGGTACAACGCTCTTCTCTACGCAGCACACGATCGTCTGACCCGATAGCCCTCTTTTCTTTCCCTCTCCCAGAGGAGGAAACAGACAAGGAAATCCCAGTGGCGGCGCACGCCCGACGCGCGAGCGTGAATGTCGCCAACCGCTTCTCGCAGGGCGGACCTACCACCACCTTTCCAGCGGATGCGCACAACGAGCGCGGCACAAGCCTCCTCAGGCGACTCTCGCTCAGTGTCGCAAAGGTGAGTACCGTCTCCTCCTGTTACGCAATGAAGGTGTGCTGACCACGAGTACCTTGCTTACCCAGCCCCAGTTTGATACTACCGCGGTCTCTACATCGCCCCCGAGCCCACCCCCAAACACTGCTGTTAGCCCCACTCCCAGGACTGCGCCGTTCACGAATAAGCCCCGCCGATCGGCGACTATCAGCACGGCAGAGACAAGACCTCGTCGGGCGCCGTCGCCGATGGGGGAGAGGATCCTCAAAGGCCATTTCGATGGGTTCAATTGACCCCCTAATCGTCTCGTCTCTCTCTCTCGATCTTGGTTTCTCTCTCTGTCGATACTCGTTTTCCCACTTCTCGCAATTCACTGCATTATACCCGCAACCGCCTCGTGAATAGTTAATCCCCACCTACCTTACCTCAGCCGTGGGCCGCAGCTTCATTTCCCTCCAGGCGGGGTGTGTCCCTGCATGCTCTTCGAGCCCAACTTGTATCCTATTCTCCGAGGTTCTTGGCCCTTCATTCCTCCACCAGCCATCCACTCAAACACCGCTCACACTCCCAAGCAACTCCTCCCTGAACACCTCAGAATACGCCGGCGGCTGATGGTGATGGACCCCCTCGAATCTAGCTCTAATCGTACCCACTTACCACCCAACATACACTCCTTTACATCGCATCTTCGTCCTCATCATCATTAGCCATCTTCATCATCCCGCTATTCCTCCGGTGTGTCAAAAATACTCTACGTGAGTCCTTTTTGCTTTCCTTCTTGACCGTGTTAGGCTAATCTCTTCACCGCACATAGTTCAGAAAGTGGCGGTGGTACTATGCTAGTCGCCTTCTCGACCAATCATCCGCAAGCTTACAATACGCGTCGTTCACTCTTGGGCTATCTGTGTCTTCTTTCGTCTATCGCCAGTCTCTTTCTCTGATCTCTTTCCTCCTCTCGTCGTCCTCGTTCTTGTGCATAGGTGTACTACTGTGATCATTTTCTGTACTTGTATCCTCCCACCGGTTTCTGGACCGTCTGAATCATGTAACTCGTTGCAAATTTATTTATCTCCCCTTCTTTTCATCTCGTCTTCCACTGTCTTGACTCCTGATTGTGAGATGACCTTCCGAGCAATCGAGCGTCCAGCATCTCCTGACGGCACGATATGATAAGAAGAGCTTCCTTTCTGACCTGCAGGGCCGGTGTCCAATGTCAACGCCACAATTACTCACGCCTACACCTCTCAATTCACGATTCGAACGTATTCCCTCCGAGAGAACTTTGAATCCCTAAAAGTCAAGATTTCAGATGTTATACCGTAAAGTGAGCCGTAAGCACGACGTTGATATGCGCGTATGTGACGAAGATTTCACGAATTCGAAGGCCTGAAGGCTTGGGTAGTCGTAATTGTTGCGTTGACGGTTAACGCTGGCGGTGATCATCGAACGTCGAATGCCGGTTGCTTGCTTTTCGTCTGTAGATTAAAGCTGGACGCGTAGACTTGAAGGGCAGCTAGGCGCGTCGAGTGTCGTCCTAACTAACTTAACCTGCACCGTAACCTCCCAACCTCAACACCAGAGAAACCCTCCAACGGCCCTCAGATCACAGAACCCACAAAGCTTAACGGGTTGCAACTCGCGATATGCACAAGGCAGAATCACTTCATTCCCAACCCTTCACGATCCCGATCATTGATTCCATACCGAGTAACCTATTTCTTGTTCGTGACAGGCATGGGCCTCTTCGAGAAGATGATCTTCCGCTTGACGATGGCGGTGATCGTCCAGCCCGCGCTAGGCTCGAGTGAGAGGTGGTCTGGTTGTGATTCCAGATCCTGCTGGACGCCTCCGAGCCTCTCTTTTGGCTTTTTGGCCTTTCCCCGTGAAGGCACGGCGATACCGGTAGAATCGACGTCCATCGCGTCATCGTCTGAGCCGGAGTCTTCTTCTCCTTCGCGAGGGTGTTCCTGTAGATCGCCTTCTAATGAATCCTCCATTTGGTTTGTCCTAGTTTTGCTTCCGCTTGTGCTTGTGCTGGAGGAAGATGATGAAGAGGAAGGGTTACGCAACAGGACGGCCAACGGCTTGGGAAGCGCGGCGACCTTGCCCTCGAGGAGATGGTGCCCGATCAAGAGCGTAGGCCTGCTCTGGATGCGCAGTTTCGCCAACCCAAAGTAGGCGCGGAAGTTGAAGAATGGGGCCGGTTACACGCGGACGCGTAGTTTGGGAGGGTTCGGAGGGTTTGGATGGACCGAAAGGTAGGCCATGGAGAGTCCAGACAGGAAGTTTAGTCGGTGTGGATGCCAGTACAGCGAAAGAAGACAGGAAAGAAAAAGGTAATCAGCATTGTGTTTAACAATAACTTCCCTCCTCCGACAAAGGTGCCCGGATGGAGGAGAGACGGAGGAGAGACGATCTAGATGAGGACTCACCGCAGCCTCATCGATCGTCAATTTCCCTACAAGCTTGCCGTTGCGTTGGCTTGGATGGCCTCCTTCCACGTCCAACGCGCCTTGGAGCTCGACGAGCACGACTTCATCGTGTGAGACCTTCACCAATCCCGAGGGTAATTTAGGGTTGGAGGAGGACGATGTGGCGAGGGTGATTGGGATGATCATTTAGATTGAAGGTGTCCTGGTGGTGAGTACTAGTGCTTGAGCAACTTTGTGCTGAGATACGAGCTTGTGTGTTGGAAAGCGCGTTTTGCAGTGTGCTGGTCAACGAAGACGCGTGTGGTAGCAGAGAAGACGCGACGCGACGCTTTGTTGATCACAAACGTAAAGTGCAAACAAAGACTATTTATCTTGGCACCTACAACCAGCGTTAGTAAGTTCTAAATCCTGAAAGCCGCGGAGAGCGTCTAGGTGTAAAATTGTAGCATATACATAGAACTGATACATAACGATAATACGTCTAAGATAGTGGATGACTTTCCTTAACGATTTAGAACGCTTTCAATTCCAGATGCGTGTTCTAAGTTCATAAGCCGAGGTGCCGACAGCCAGGCACATCAAAATCTTTCAGATTCAAGGTCCGACCTGTCAAAGCGACCTCGTCTCAAACCTTCGCTTGGAAGGACCCTCCCTACCCCCCTCTCAACTCCAAATCCGTTCCCAAATGCATTCCAGACCGAAAATTCAACTCCGCGGCCATACAAGACCACGCTCTACATCATCATCACGATCACCGCGCTTTTGTGCTTGGCAGACGCGCTCATTAGATGACGCGTTCTGATCAGGACACTCAGACGTGTCCTTGCCCTGTAGACGTGCCCTTTCCTCTAGGGCTTTTTTTGATGGTTTACAACGCGTCGTATTGATGGGAAATACACAATAAATGTCACGGAAAGGGGATTTGAGGCTGGTAAGTGAACGGTTAGCATCCCTTGGTTCCTCTTGTTCACCCCCTCAATTTAGCGCTTTTCGTGTAGTTTGAACATCTACGCAGGCGTATTCATGAAAACTCACCATTTATATCACCTACGTCGTGTCTGAGTACCTGATCATAGTGACCCAAGCATCAAAAATGCGCCCTTCCTGGTCCCAGTGGCGTATTCGTGTTTGTCCAAATTCTGCTCAAGGGCGTTGCGAAGAATGGTGAAAAGGTTTAAAAGCAGGTGTGTTTCTCTCCCTTTTCTCCAGCATTCCCTTGCTAACTGACTTGTCGATCCCTCTCTGCGAACATGTCTCACAATACCAACACCAACGCCAGCACCAATGCCAACGCCAAAACCAACAACCCCCCAGTCGACCCAGCTGGTCCCCCTTCTGGTGGAACTACCAA